TGTGTCGTAAATGAACAGTTGATGAATTACACTTTTCTGAGAATAGATTATAGAAGTGGAGATCGCTAAACTGCACGTTAACCGCTGTTTTCAGAAAGCAAGCGTGTTTATCCACAGTGGAGAGAGCGTGTGTGCACATGGTTGCCAGGCTGACAAAGATAAGTAGCACACTTAGCAGATATTTCCGTATTGCGCAAGTGTGAAGCTCTGTTTTGGGGATTACGTCTCTTTATATCAGGCAACCCAGTTGTGTTCCTCTGCGGCCAGATTAAACCTTGTTGTAGCCTATATATTATGCTCTATTCATCATTTATTAGAAACCTCGCACTTTTCTACTCAATTTTAAACGGTGTTCTTGTATTCAAATTAAGCGCGGTCCACTGCTGCACACGTGCCACAATATCGATTCAGGGCCAGCTGTATCGATACTCGTATTGTCAAATCTCTGTAACGATGTATCGAACACAGCACTAACGTTTAGCCTAATATTTAGCATTCATTAATTTGTTTCCCACTGAAGTTACATGTAGATGGGTTTTGCCTGTGTCAGATGTCTTTTGTCATGTGTCTGCTGTCTGGGTGTAGTTCATTCGGTTGTAGTGTGTTTGAGATGCTGCATGTCAGTAACAGGTTTCCTGTGTGTTTATAGGTCGGCCTGCGCAGTGGGCGGAGCCTCTGGATGCACTCTGACCCCGTATCCCGCAAGAACGAAAGTGTGAATGCTGAGGTGAGTGAGGAGGAGGAGAGGAAACACTCCTTCTCTTCTCTCATCCATTATCTCTCTCTCTCCTCATGCGTTATGTCTCTCTCTCTCTCTCTCTCTCTCTCTCTCGCTCTCGCTCTCGAGAAAAACACGGTCATTCTAGCCGCCACGTTGTTTTTACATGCGCGCATATACTAGGCGTTACGGTAATAGCGTGTAAACCTCAGATCAAGGGAAAAGCGTTCAAGCTCTCATGCATTATCTCTCTCGCCCTCTCTCTCTCGCTCTCCTCTCATGCGTTATGTCTCTCGCCCTCTCTCTATCTCTCTCTCTCCTCTCATGCGTTATGTCTCTCGCCCTCTCTCTCTCTCTCTCTCTCCTCTCATGTGTTATGTCTCTCGCCCGCTCTCTCTCTCAGGTGTTGGATCTGATGAGGAAAATGCAGTCTGCTGCTGCTGGTCTGAATGTCTCGTTGGGTCATCCGTTGTTCACGCAGCCGCTGCCGCCCTCGTCTCTCCAGCGGTTCCTGCGAGCTAGACCGATCCCTGGCCTCGTGCTGGCAGACCATCAGACATTGTTCAACAACAGGTCTCCGTTCACAATTCATCTGCCTTTTAGTTTTTAACATTTTAAAGTTAATCGTAATTGAGCGGATCATGATGGAGTCTTGATTATTTGCATGATCTTCAGTAACTATAATAATGATAATCATGACTTATTCTGACCAAGATCCGTCACTTCATTTTCTGACGATATTGTTAGGTGTTAGTAAATCTGAAATTGTATATAACTTTGAGGACAAACGTAAAATACTTTAGTCGATGTGCTGAACATCTAGCTATTTCTGCTGTATTTTGTTTATTATTGTTTAATTATTATACATGCACTGTAAAAATTTTCACCTAATTCAGCTTAAAACTTTGTTCAGTAGCTGCCTTACATTTTTAAGTATAATCAAATGGGCCGTTTATTCAAGTTATTTCAACTTAAGTTATATTAAACTGACTTAAGAAAAATTTAGCTGAATCTTGTATAACTTAAAAAAATGTTGATATTGGTTAAATTAATTTGATGAGTTTAAGTCGTGGAGAAACATATGATGGCATGACTTATTGAAACAGAATATTTGTAACCAGCGTGTAATTTTTTGTAGGACTTCATTGACTTTAAAGCATATTTTATTGTAAAAACTTGCTTTAAGTGATATTAGGCAACCGTTTTTTTCAGATATCAAGCTAAAATAGCTCATATAATTGCTCTAATTTCTATACTGTTGTACGTAAAATATTATTGAATTACTTTATGTAGTTTTCATTATTTATTGAAGTATTTTTGCTGTTGTGGCTATTTTAATAAATTGTAATTAAATTTAATGTGCCATGAAAATAGCATCTCCTGCTGATATAGTATTGAATTTAATTTAATTCAACTTGAATAAATTAAGAAACAGTCCTACAAATGAGCTTTCAGAAATAAAAATATTCTACTTAAAATTAACTACAGAATACAAAAAGGTGATTTAAAGTACTTTTTTCCTTCCTTCCTTTCTTTGCTAAATTAAATTAAATTAAATTGAATTAAATTAAATTAAATTAAACTTGACTGAATGAATGAATAAATAAATAAAAATGGAAAAAAACATGGAATATTTTAATTATTAATAATTTAATAATATTTAAATTTATTTGTCACATTGCAAAACTATTTAAAATGAACTACTAAGGACAAAAAGGTGATTAAAATGATTTTTCCATATATGCTGACACATTTTAGCCTACTAATCTTGATAATGATTTTAAAAAAGTCCATGGACATGCCATATATCAACTACCTTTTAAGGTTTTATATCATGAACACAAGTGTTGTCGAATCCAGCGTCTAGTTCTTCCTCAGAAGTCTCATTGTAGCTGTTTTCTAACATGTGTAAAGCCTTTCTGTTCAGAGAAGCTCTTGTCTTGTGTGTCTGAAGCCACATGTTGTGTGTTTTCTGTAATCTGCACCTGACACAGATACTACGAGAGCATGTACGATGACGCAGAGAACCTGAACGTCACGTATCCGCCCGACCTGAGTCCAGACGAGCAGCTGGTGTACGAGACGGACGCGGCCAAGGTGTGTAACTCCTGCGGATGTGTTTGCTGTGGTTGAGTCGACGTCAGTGCTTTTGACCTCGTCTCAGCTCTTCTCTCTGTGTTTTTCCATCCGCACTCACTCAGTCTCTGGCAGAAGTGGCCACACTCGTCGCTCGCTCACTTTACTTACAGGCAGGAGGAGAGGATAAGAGCCTGAGCAACATCACCGCTGACCCCAAGATCGTGAGTCACATGACCAACATACACACTCACTCACTCACTCACTCACTCACTCTCTCACACACACACACTCACTCACTCACTCACTCTCTCACACACACACACTCACTCACTCACTCACTCTCTCACACACACACACTCACTCACTCACTCACTCTCTCACACACACACACTCACTCACTCACTCACTCTCTCACACACACACACTCACTCACTCACTCACTCTCTCACACACACACACACACACTCACCCTCACTCACACACACTCACACTCTCTCTCACACACACACACACTCACACTCACACTCACACACACTTACACACTC